GACGACTTTCGATTCGGGCGGACGATACACACTAAACTCATCGGCGAAACTCTTTTATTGAGATTAGAAATTCCGAAGCATCTGTGTCGCGTTGTTGCGCTGGAAAGCGTCGTCCTATAATTTGAAAGTTTCGGAGAAAAGCCAGCAGTTTCCTCTCCAATTTTCCCGCGGATTTCTTCGGTTTTTGTATCAAGGGTGTAAAAATTCGTTTGGAATAATTTACGTACGTTCGGTTGAAACTTGCCGTATTTACTTTTTCTCCGCAAGGAAGGTGAGAAACCCGAAAAATCCGCGGAGAAGTTAGAGAAAAACGGGCTCTTTCCGAAACTTGAAAACTACACCGTTCTTTCCTTCCGAGAAAGAGAGAACACCGGGACGAGAACACGCAATTACAAGTTCCTTCATCCGACAATCCGTACAAGTTACGAGGTTACACCACACGTCTTAATTACCGGCACTTTTCTCTCCCTTCCTCTCCCTCCCCATCTCTCTCTCTCTCTTTCTCTCTCTTTCTCTCTCTCTTCCAGGGAGGAAAATGCAATTCCCGTCTGATTGGATCCTCCGTTCACTTTCGCTACTCGTGTTTCCCTTCTTCTCTTTTCCGCACCCGGTCGGCCGATACGCAACACGCTATTGATTCCTTTCTGAACACGTTACGTCAGGAGACTTATGTAATTGAAGGCGCGAGAGAGCGGAGCGAAGCTCCTTTATGACGTTTCGAGTCGCTTGTAGCGCGACAACGCCTCGGGCCTTTTCAATAGACCACCGTTTCGTGTGTCTGTTATCAATTGCTTTGTAGCACGAACGGCGCAGCTTTACCGTGAAAACACATCCGGCAACTTGTGTGAAATCAGTGACGGAACAGTGCCGGTTCAATAGCGCGCGCATAGAACCGATGAAGATACCGGGTCGCCTCTAGAAAAACGACCCCGGGGTCGTTAAGGGTAACCGAGAGACGAAATCGGCCACCGTTGGCTCGACCGGCCGGAGTTGTAGTTGGAGTTTTATCTCGAGCGTAAATTGACCAATTTAAAATAATCGACGACATTTGTCCCGAAATGACGAAGAAATTTTCATCCACGCTCGTGTCGGAAATTAACCGAATGGAATTTCACTCCTCGCCCGACGGAGTCATTTTAGTTCTATTATTTAGTATTATTATTTTCTATTTATTTAGTATTATTATTTTCTATCTGCATTTAGCGCAAACGAAGTCGTACATTCTTAATTATCCGATTATCGTTTACCGTTCGACGCGATTACGTGATTAACGCGGAAGAACGCGAATATCGACTATTCTCCGCCATTGGTAATCCATTGACTCTCTAATAGTCTATTATACGATCTACTACGCTACGAACATCTGCTACAGTCCGGCTATTAAAGGAAGTGTCGTTGGTCAAAGATTCCTTCTAATACGTCACTATCAACGGATTAAAGCGCTTAGGAAAGACCACCGTAGGTTGAAGCAATCTATGCTATTTATTGGCGGCGATTTATCGGGGTGAGAGCGGTCGTATAACGTTAAGCCCTTCGATCCTCAGCACTCTAAATGCGTTTAAATCATACACATGCATATACATACGCTGATCGTTTTATATTTTATTTAAGAATCATATATATGTGTCACTATATACATGTTCGATCGGGAGTAATTGCGCGAAATCGGCCGGCCGAATCGGGCATTTTCACACGAGGGAATTCACGAGGTGATGGCGTCGCGCATCCACGGCACGGTGTATTCGGAAGGTCGAATTTTCGCCCGGCACATCTAAATGTTCGTGATGAGTTAAGCGGACCGAAAGACGAATGAGAGGTTCAACATTCGTGTCAAGGATCACGGCGCGATTTAACACGATTCGCCGGTCCTAACTGCCGCTCATAATGCTGCGTCGTTGCGCGCGCGCGTAATTTCATCGAGCTTCATCGCAACGTCCCGTCCCTGTGATTCCGCGTCCTCCGACGCGGAAACGATTGGGACGCGCATAAAGGGATTTCGACGATGATTAGCGCGGCCACGCTCCCCCGCGTCCGAGAGTGAAATCTCGACTTCCTCCGAGAGAAAGAGATAGAGGAGACAATTACGGAAGCGTAATCTCACCGTGATCTAGCGATCAACCGGCGTCAAACTGCTCAGGAATGGAGGAAAATTTGGTCGGCGAGACGAGGACCCTTGTCGAAAGCTGTAAATGTGCACTCCAATTTGCACGAACGCGCGAATGAATTTTTTAATTAAAAAATTCGCGAAAGCTCTAGGATTTACGGTACAAATATTGTGCAAAGTGCGTTTATTATTAACGTGACGTTCCGCAAATGAATTTATTGTAATACTAATGCGTCACCGCGCGAACGACGCGCGGACTACACATTTTTATATTTCGAAAATGTATTTATGTATGTATATGTATAAAAAAATGTGAAATTATCAGATATACTAATGTATTCGATATTTCCTAAAAATTCTTTAGTTTTGCGTTTTCAGCAATACCTTAACTTCTCAATAATACCTACTTCGACTCGATTCTTTTATTTTTCGCAAAATGTAACTATTACTTGCGCTTGTCTCTTTTACGGGGAAAAATTTTTTGCTCGCACTTTAAAATATATCGAATACTTCCCGTCCCGTGTTCGGATGACAGATGACAAAGAAACAGTTTTGTCGATGCTGATTTTTACGTACGACCGTAAACGAAAGTTACATCCGCTCTCCTCCGTGAGAAACCTACATTGACTATCCGTTTGCGCGAATGCCGTAATATCTTCCGCATGGTCGTTTCGGAAAAGTAATTGAATTTACAACATACTCACGAACGTTACAGCTGAGAGATACCATTATTATGAAAATGCGATTTGTGCCGCAATGTTGTTATCTCGGGGAAATACGACGGTGAATGCAAGCTTGGTACAAGGACTACGTTGCAATATTAAGATAATGCACGTACGAACACAGCTCGCATATACGCAGCTTGGTATGCATGGTAAGGAAAATCAGGCGTGGGCGATACGATCGGAATTGCACAAAATTCGTAATGCGCTTGTAACATGTGGCACACTCTCTCTCTTGAAAACGGGGGAATCGTGCGAATTGTCGTCTCGCGGTGATAAATACTCGAGTGCAGTCACACTGAAACACTGCAAATAACGTTTACACCAAGAGATAATGGTGAATGCGATGATGGTGAAAGCTCCGTCAAATATTTGATGCTGTAATTTTCAGTACGATTGCGTACTCACATATCTGTTTCTGATTATTTATATTTGAAGTGGGAATTCAATTAGCATAGATGCGACCCGTGGGGAAAACAGGCGGGAAAACAGACGATCCGATCGGAATCGGTACGAAACTCGTAATACGCTTACAAAATGTGGAACTCGCTCTCTAAAATGCTCTCTAAACCGTGCGAATCCTCATCTCGCGATGATTAATACCCGATTGCAATCGCATCAAAGTTGCAAATAACGTGCGCCACGCGAACACAGTGGCAGATAATTCCGTTAGATATTTGACACTGTAACGTCCAAGGCAAATTTACACAAATTTATCCTCACTCCCGTCCCAAATACGATTTTTATCACGAGTAACTTTAATTAAATTTAATTTTGTTAAGCAAATATCTCGAATGTAATGTAAAAAGCAATATACTCGCAAACGACACAGGTCGACCTTTCGCATAAAATGTCTACAAGACGGTAAGCGGCTTATTTTTTATCGAGTCGCCTCGAAAGGAGCGTCGAGTTTCCATTTTTCATGATGCTTCGCTCTTTATCGCGTTCTGCTTCATTTCCCGTGTGCGTATCATGAGCTACACCCGCTTAGACATGTACAGCGTGTGCGTGTACAGTAGCTGTATATTAGAAGCGCGGCATTATTTGCGGCATCGCCAAGTTTGCTCATTTCTACGTGCCCGCACTGTTCCCCTAATATAGTAAACCAACACAATCCCGAGATTCTATTCGACGAACGAGGCGACAGGGGAAGCGTACAAGCGACAATCCGAGCGCTTCGTCGAAAGGGATAATGCGGGATTATGAGAAAATCCTCTCTCTATTTATCTATCCATCTATCTATTTATCTATATCTCTCGCTCTCCGTGGGCCGTGCCACACACGTAACGACACTTGGATTTCTCTCCGCATGTTGGAATAACGCAATTTTAAAATTCCCCGTCGAGCCGTCGGTCGCGTCGCAGCCGCTCGGGGGACCTCCGCGACGGAGATCGGGCTTTTTTCCAGCTCGCGACCCGGGTGGGTCACCATCAGATCGCTACTGAGAGAGACGGAGCCGCGACATACCGCGAAGGCTGCGAAGGGATCCACTACTCTCGTCGAATATTCGAGGCCCGGCGAAGCCGAATTCGAGAGCGGCGACGTCGAACGGATGATCATCCGTCTCGTTTTACCGCCTCGGCCACCCATCCATGCGCGCGAGCGAGTTCTTTCATCGCGTCCCGTAAAAGAAAGCTTGGCGAAGAAGAAAAAAAGAGGGACAACCCACCGGATGGATATTTCTCGTGTTGCGCTGCAATCGACGTTATTGCTGACCGCGTCGGGAAAATACGCTCGTTTGCACGGTGGTTTCCAGGAGCGCATCGGCTTTCCTCCGCCTCGCGGGAAGGAGAAAACTCGGCCGTGCGATCAGCTTCGCCGTCAGAATAAATAATGTGTCCGATGCAGTTAGTTCTTAATGGTCGTTTCTCGCCGGTAGCGTAGGTAGGGAGGGGGCAGGCGAACGTTACATGGCGATATTTTCAGAGAAATTATTATCGCGGTGGCTTGCAGCTTGCGGAGAACATCGTTATTCAGGGAAAAACCATTTTCCCGTCGATAATGAAGCAACGTCGATGTCGTACGCTGAGTTGTCAATAGAAATTATCAGCAGCGTTCGCGTAAGCGTTACGTTATCCAAATCTATTTACGGCGATTCCAAATAGATCGATCGTTCATTGTAGGAGCACACACACACACACACACGCCATAATGATTACATCAAGTGTACTCACGTGCACGATCGGTAATTTCTCCTCCTTTGCGAACCGTTCCGCTCGAATTTACTTTATCGCCAGTTCTAACCGTAGATACTCGGCGGCGAGTAATCTACAAGAACATAAAAGGTTTATGGGAGCTGAGGAACAGGTTTCACGACTTCGCGCAAATCGTGTCATATATATCGCGGCTGCCACGACCGCGATAAATATCGCGAAAAGTCGCGCGAGAGGAGAAAAAACGGGAGGCTGCAGTAACGCGAACGCGAGCGCGCTTAAGTGAAAGAAGTTGGATTTAACGCCGGAGCACGCGGCGGGTATAAAAACGGCGATTCATAATATCATCCTTATTAACTTGCGCGATGTGATAATTATAATCTTGTGAAGTGCGAATATTTGCATGCGAACGGCGCGAAGACATGACGGTAGTCAATACGAAGCTCCTCTACGTATGTTAATGAAGCATGTACGACAGAATACACGGCTCTTGCCTCATTACAACGTGACCTTAATGCCGGTGTTCGTTCATAGAAATATCGCGACCGCATCGCACGGTTAAAATATCAACGTTTCTTCCTTATTGTATTTTTAGACGCGCGGTGTAAATGATTTCAATTGTTTTGCGGAAGCTACCGTGTCTTGTTTTCTTCACGATGATTACGTCCCGAGTGCAGCGAAAGAACGAGGACGTACGACGAAAATATATCCTGCAATAATTGCAAAAATGTACAATAGGAAAGAGAATAAAAGGGAATAAAAGGGGAAAACATTTTTATAATATCGTAAAATAAATATATAATAAATGTATAATGACTAATTCATTAAAGAGAAAATAAAAAAGGGATATAATAATTACGAAGAATGAGGACAATAATATCTAGAGACGCGTATTAATTCAGTATGCTCAATCTGCAGAGCTTGCTTTATCGCTCGAGAGAGCACTGTGTATATTTAAACAACATTTTTTGTATACATAATGCGTAACACGGCGAAATATATACTCTAGAACGGAATCATATATAGGAACCATGTACATTTGCATATCCGCAAAATATTTTAATAACTTTTATCAACGACCCGTATGTAGGAGAGCGACACAATGAATCGGAATTGGGATATTTTTTCTGCCGGAATCGAATTTATCCATGCTGAATTGACGATTAATTAATCGGCTTGACGTCATGGGTTAGATTACTGGAAAAATATCGAATTTTAAATCAAATATATGAAACCATCGATCGTCCATTACCGTTGCCGAGCGCGGGATTGGGAGAATATATAAAACACCGTCGGACTGAAATCTCTCGTTCTTCTCTCATTCGTCTGTTCGACGATTTCGTTTACATTTCTATTAAATCGTATTATATTATTACGATATTCCGTTTATTATAGAGGGCGCAATTTTACAGAGAGCAATTATTACGCCGTCGCGGTTAAATATAAAAAATAAACTCGAGTTAAAAAAAAATCATGAATATTTATGGCGCATTAGACGGAAACGCAGTTCGTCCCTTCACAAACATCATTCCGATTCACTCTGCCGAGTGCGATTCACTTTGCAACAGGCTCGGCGTGAATTCACGTTAAAAGCAATATCTATCTTGTATTGCGAAACCTTCACCGCACCGCGAGATACTTGAATAGCAACAACAACAACATGTAGCTTGCGTGGTAACGTATGCGGAACGACGAAAGATTTACGAGTTCAAAACCCGCAGATAGCGTGGAGAAGCACGATATTTCACAAAATTATTTTGTAACAACCCGGCGTTAAATGTTTACAAACGTTAAATAAATGAAAAAAAGACGACGTATACGCGGCGAAGAAGACCGAGCGGCGCTTTTGATCGCTCGTCGCTAAAAAGAATTCGCGAGTCGATCGTAATTACTCACGTTTAGAACGACGACAGATGGGCGACCGCGTTCTCGTCGGGCCTCGATTCACCGGCGACGTTGCTCGGCGCGAAAAACTCCGCTAACCGCCGATGGCTTTACGGCTTTACTCCGAAATCGGGCGTGCGCGCACTCTCTCGAAATAGTAGCACGGAATTAAACGCGGCACCAGGAAGTCATATTTCAATACCCGATGGATAAATGCAGTTCCGCGGTGCGCGATCAAGTTTTTCCGGAGCACGTCCTACGAACTGCCGGCGTTTCGCGTATTTTGATTGTTTCGTGTTATCCGCTCAAGATATATAAACGATTCTCTTTGTATGCCGTAGTCAATGTTTGGATTACAATGATTACACTACCCTTCGTTCTTTTCGATACGTCCAATAACTTTTTTCACTTTATAGCCGCGCACTATCTCTCTCTCTCTTTCTCTCTCTCTCTCTCTCTTTCTTTCTCGTTCACTTTCTCGTTCTTCTTTTTTCCGTTTTCAACAGAGGCATTCCTCGAAAATTTTTGTCCGAAGACAAAACATCGGTGCTTTGTTTTCGTTAAACAAGACCTATCGTCTCTATAGTTTACTTAGGCTGCCGTGATTCGCTCGCTAAACACGAGAGAACGCGGGCGTGCTGAAATTAATGAAGGTTCTTGTACACATATATCAGGAGAGTTTTCGAAATATGATACCGAGCGTAAATACGACCATGCTAACGATGACGGGCCGTGAAATTTGTGAAATATTCAAATCATCACTTTAGTTACGAGTGGGAGAGTACACGGAGTGGGGAGGGGACGAAAGTTATAGAGTCGGCGATAAACCCGATGATAATTAACGGGAGAGAGAAAGGGAGAGATATGTATCGAACGAAAATGCCCGCTGTATCATGAATGATGTATAATGATCGAACGAAAATGCCCGATGTATCATGAATGATGTATCGATAGTGTCGAGATTTTCCAGATAGAAACACGTGGGCGGCGCGCGCTGCAGGGAGGATCGTGCGGATCTTGCGAAAAACGGCCTTACGAGCGAGCGTCTTCCGCCACGCTTCACTCTCTAAAAATACCTAAAAGGTGAAGTCCAACGTCTGACCGAGTCTCGAACTCTATTTTCAAATGGAAATCAGTGAGCGCGCTACCGTGCGCAGTTGCGGCACTCGCGTGGCAGGACAGATAGCGTCGATTGAAAACGCGGAAAACAATGAACTCGAAGTCGGATTGACGCGAAGCATTCTACTTCTGTGGGGGAATCCGCATACATATATGGATTTCCCCTCGGGATCGTTTCCCGCAAAACGACGCATTCGCACAAGTAATCAATTGCGACCGTGGGTGCTCGCGCGAGCAAATTTCTACACAAACGCTGCATAATCGCGCGACCGTTTCCTACGGCCGTGCGATCCCAAGATCAACAATCCCGCAACTGGTGGCGTGTCCACGTCAGGCATTTGCTCATCTTCGGCGCATTCGATATCGTAATCAAACAACCAACCCCTGCATATTGCATTTGCCTCCTTCCGATACGCACGGACGCGCTCGCGATGCATTTCGACGTTGCTGTACACAGATATTCCATTAAGCGTACGAGGGTACGCTTTCAGTGTCGTTTATAGAAAATTTAGACACATTTCCCGGAGATTTTTAGACGCGCGAGCGCACCAGCTCGTCAGGAGAATGGATTTCCCTCCTCATGGGAAGAAAATAGCCGTGCGTTCCGTTAGTTGATACTCTTCTACCGCGCGGAACGAGTTCCGCCCGCTTCACGGGTCACGGTTAGTCGGAATAAATCTCGCGGGAGAACGCGAGATCAAACAAAAACTGATTACGCTACGTTACGCAGTTTCTCGCTTTTTTCTCCCTTACTCGAGAATTCATTCGAGAATAAATATTTATTCGGATAATATTTACTCGGGTATGATCGCGATAAATGTCCTTGGTGCGGAGGGAGAATCCGCAAACGCGGATTGCGATGTGGAAACGCTCGAAATGAAGGAAAGCATTCGGTAATTCCGCCGGAAGCACGGACGACGGTGTTCACAGTGTTTCGGTCACGCCGGCCCGACAGTACGACGGGATGTTGATCGTACAAATCGGCAGGTCACGACGTCGTTCCGTACCGAACACACTAATATCTGAGAAATTGCCCTCGCGGTGTTGGCCGCCCAATCGATTCGACGTGCGAGCGACGACGTCCACCTCTGCGTTATGCCTTTCCCAAAGGAACCATGTCGCGACCAGTAACGCTTTCTCCGCTGTTCTCGCGCTAAAGGGCGCAATTTCACGCGCAGGATTGCGCCACCTTGGGGCTTTATCGCGCTTATTACATTCCCCCACATGGGTATGTAGTACGTATGACGTCACGCAGAAAATTGGCGACGAGAATAGATTCGATACTCGGAATGCGATCCTGATGATTGGAATTTATAAAATATGAAGACGCACTGCCCGGGATCCGGATTTTTCGTGCTTCGCACGCGACAGAGGCGGCGACTGTTATTATTACGAACTACGAATTATATTTTACACGTATATCATTTACAATAAACGGACGATTCTCATCACTCCGCCCGATAGTGTACACCGGTGCGCCTCGTGCGATTCATTAGAGATATTCGTTTATGGTAAAGTGACCCTTTTGACGATAACGAAGTAACGTTAGGAACGAAATAGAGCGTACTAAAAGCACATTGAGTGGCGGTCGAGGTACATCTAATTCGAATGAATTTTCGCGAGTTCGCAATTTTCGTTATTTCGCGGTAATGAAACGCATTAACGATGTGTATAAAGCTCCTTTTGGTGCAACGATGGACAGAGACGGAGAGAGATAGATAGAGAACGGAAGGAGCGGAGTGTAATCAATGCGAGTTAATATTCAGCGCATTGCCGTTCGTTTCGTTTCAATCAAACTTCTTCGCGAACGGAGAACAGGTTAAACACACCTGTGCGCCGTGCGTCTATTAATCAAAGTCACCTTTTTCCCGGCGCACAAATACCTTCTTCTCTCTGAGATCCCCATTGCTCTCGAATGCATTCCAATATCATCACGGAAAGAAATTTACTTTGTAACGGAAGGCCAGAAGTTTTCTATCTCGAATATCAAGTGTGATTTAAATTCCAGTCTTCCCAACGACGATCCCTATCGATGCTCCATCGTCGCCGAATCTGTAAAACGTGTCTCGCTTATGGAATAAATTTCGTTTTGTATTTTCCAGAGGCTGCAACCGTTCGAGCTCCGGGGAAGCGCCTGTGTTCGCTTCCTTCATCGCGCCGGATAAGCTATCGATTGGACAAATTGAATAGCGCGAGGTCCCGAGATCTGATCGCGGAAACGAAACGTGCTTATCGCGATTCTTATATATACTTAATACAAATACTTTGCACATACATGTAAACTGTGATGTAATTAAGAATAGTGTGTCGCGAGTACATCTATAAGAGCATGCACGTATCAACTTGTGAGCGATAGGCTCGAGAGCTACAAAAAAAAAAGAAAAACGCTATCAAGAGTATGGATATTACCGTAACGTTATAAATGTGTCTCGATCAATGGCTTGTCGACGATGTACTTACTTCTGAAGTCATAATAATAAACGACGTATCTCTGTAGCACATTGTTTTCATCATTGACGTCTCGAATCGGGCAAAGATCGTTTCATCGATATATTCATCTGGAGAGAGAGAGAGAGAGAGAGAGCTCGCGGGATATATTAAGCTCACGTGCAGGTCAGTCAATAGGAAGCCGAGCAGTATCAAGGTCTTTTATTACGAGAGCTGAAATTGCTTCGTATGGAGTGATATTGGGGACGTAAAACAGTCTACCTCAGTCCATAAAGTGAGGTTAACATACTTTGAGAAAGCTGAGAACAAGGCGGAAGTGCGCGCCCCTTTATATACTTAACGCACGCGTCGTATAATGGTCGACAAAGGTATGAGGATAAAAAGGGCATAAAAAGATCCGCTCGGCTTACGAATCTTTTTATTGCATTATTAATAAATCGATAATGATACATGTATTTTCCATTATTACGCGTGAACTTCTCTTCCATTCCAACCGCACGCACGGTATTTTATCTTCGGTAGGAAAAAAACTAATTTTAAACCACGCGAGAATTCCCATAAATGCGCTCTTTTTGTCGCTTTCTCTTTGTTTCATCGCGGGATCAAAGCGTGCAGAATGAATATCCTCGTGTTACGTTGCGAGAAATTAATACGTATTCGCATGCGTTGCGCGTTTCGCGTGTCTCTCAGCGTAAGGAAACGGATTAATATCCCAACAAGGACCTCCGTTAAATCCGCTAACAAAGCAAATAAAAAGACCCGATCCTTCCGATCACGCGCCGCTGTTTCTTTTTATTTTGTTAATTTCAATAGCACATACTTCCCGCTTAATCCTTCGTCAAATATTTAGTGAAGAAAACCGCGATGCTCTTTCTCTCCTATCTCCGTCCTCGACGATACCGGCACGCGAGAAAGCGCCGGTGAAAAATATTTGTCACGTATGAGATCTCACGAACGTGTCACTGCTTATTTAACATTGAGCGGCTCTGTCGTGATAGCAAAAATTGGTGATTAAAATAGTAGATGTTCGAGGCTCAATGAAATTACGAAAAAACAATTATAGAAAGGCCACGATGAACTAAGCACGGATCTAATAGTGCTCTGTAACGAGATCTCAATAAAAAAAAAGAACTAATGTAAGTAAAAAATGTAATGATTCATAATCCGCCGACAAATTTGTCGTTAAATTCAAGGATATCTCGGATAGATAATATATAAAAATACGCGAGAAGCGAGAAGCTGATATAGTCAGCGATATCGTTCTTAGCCAGGTCGAGAGATCTTTTTAAAATGTAAAGGCAGTCGCCAATTTCCTCCCCCTAGCGGACTAGCGGGTTGTCTTGCGTGCTGATGAGAGTTAATTTAGCAGACATGTACAAGAAACGGACGCAAATCAGCCATCTAAAGCGTCCGTTCGTCTTATCTGTCGCATTTATCCTTGACGCGGTAGGAGTGCGTAAGACTGGGGGACAGGGGTGGTTGGCACTTAACGTCGCCAAGACGAAATGAGATGAAAATTACGAGGTTCCACGTCCGAGGGCAACGTGAACCGTCCACAAGACGACGGGCAAGGTTTACCATCGTGAAGAAAAATACGAAACGTACTACGGCTTTCCGTGAAGCCGCACAGTGGCAGGCAACAGGAGCAAGACGATTATTAATGAGCGCATTAAGCCAACGAGGACCGGTATTGCGTACCATGAGGCAATGGTCCGTTCGTTTCCTTTGATAGACGTCGATGGAAAGTGGCCGCTTAATTATCGCCCGTTCTCTTTTTCAGCGAACGAAGTGAATAAATTGCGAGTCTCTTCGGGACGTGCTTCGCTTTGTCGCGTTATATAACTTTGCCGTGCACGCGCGCACAAAGTTGACGGCACTTGTGATGGATTCAAGACAGGTCGATTCACTTCGGAAAGAAAGAAATTCTCGGTACGAAAAAGCGTGGCGATGTAAGGAGATGATTTCCATTAATTTTACGTCTTGAAACACTCTGACGGCCGAAACTTTTTCGAATAACAATATAGAAAATAATTTCGAATAACGTACGGATATGGTGTACATGAATTTAAAGTAATTCGATCGTGATTAAAATCGTGATGGAATTGTTCGCATAAGTTACAATTTTGAAAGTTATAAATGCCTGGCATTAAAATAGTTTGAATGTAACGCGTAAAATTAAAATGGGAAAGTATTTATAAATCGTACTTTCTAAAATTACGAAAATCTCTGGTAATAAAACAGACCAAGAGAGAAAATTTAACGAGTTGAATGTTTAATAAATCAAAAAAACGTTTTATGTAAAATCTAGGATTTTATATAACAATCTATCTGTTATACAAAATTCATACACAAATATTGGCATTGTATTTAATTGTTATAAATGTTAAAGAACGAACTGTGAAAAATATATTTACATTTTTTGGAGCATTAAAATTCTAAACTATCTATTAGTACCTACAATCGCCAATTAAAAACTCATAACAAAAGATAATCAGCGAAATCCTGTCATCGATGAAACGGATCAGTCGAAATGAAGAAATCGAAAGAAAGAAGGAAGAATGAAGAATAGAGAATCAAGGAACCCGAGTTGCGTCGTTATTCTTGCGGCATGTTATATTTACACCGTGATTATTGCAGTATTATTGTCACGGAATTATTTAAATTACGCTATTCATGAGAAGCATACAAATCTTTCTAACAGACAGAAACGACATAAGTGTATGTAATAATGGCATACGACATTGAATTGCGTATACCAGCGGTGAAATATTACGGTCGAGATACGGAAGGTGAACTTTGTGCGTATAAATAATAGTTTGAAACTGCATAATAGCCCAATGTTTACCATCGTGAAGAGAGACTGGATTCCAATTTGATTAGAGAATCGCATTACTTCATTATTCATGCGACGGCTCTCACCGTCCCGCCACCATTATTGTTACGTTACTGCATCGTATTATCCGCGATGATGGCAATTAGATTTGTTTTCAGACGGTGTGATCTACAACGCCGGATTATTGATATTCCCGCGCGGTCGCACTGAAATGGAGCACCACATGTATTTTGTAGCGATATTCGTTGCGGACACACATTTGAAAGCATTTCTATCAATTCATTTCGGCCTTTCAGCAAATTTGGTGCCGCCCCATTTAGTTTTATTTCGAGAAAATTACATGCATGAAACGGTATAAATTTTATATGAAGAAGAAAAAGAGACGCATGAGAATTCATTTATCCAACGAATATATGAAGCTGAAAAAAGGTTAGAGGGAAATCATAATGTATAATAAACCATTTCTTAATTAAAAGCCCAAGGATTATACCATCATATCCATCAAATTTGCAGCTCGTGGATATCGCGCAACACAAATGTTTACCGATAAATGATTAGATGTATCCTTCGCGCGCAGAGAGAAGAGTGGCAAATGTTGGTTTTTGAGGAAGAAAAAAAATATTTTCCAATCATCGAGGTTCATCTTCGCCGAGAAGGAGAACGATATTAACATCGATGGTGGGAATCGCGAGAATAAGTGGGGCGGACGCGAAGTCATCGAGTCAGAGAAAGCTCGACCAATGCCTTACGCGCGAATCCAATCGACGAAGAAAGTTCATCCCGTGTCGATAACGCTACGTCGGGGATGAAACGTGAGAGGACGGGAGGGTGAAAACGGAAAACAAAGAACGCCGACGGAGTCGTTAATGAAACGGCCGTTGTCGTGACGATGGTCGTAGTGATGGCGGCGGTGGTGGAAAGTGATAAGTATCAATCCTAATATTCCGCTAGCCCTCTAATTAACTTTCACGATAGAAGGTAAATGAGTAAAAATATTCCATGTATCTCTCTTCTCTCGCGGTAATTACGTTCTACTGAATCGATGGGTGTGCTTGGCTAGAGGACGGAGAGATCTAGGACAATTTGAACTCGTCCTGTTTTTCAGCGAGCTTGAAATATCCCGTGAAATACATTAATAAAATATATATATATAACGTCACACTTTCTAGAAATATCGCGATCGTTAAATAATAGCAGAAGTATTGTATATTTCTTTTTTTTTTATGAGAAAAGCGACGGAAAACGGAAATTTTTTACAGGGGCTTTGCGCGTATTTCGCGAGGCCGGGCGAACACGATGGCCATCAGCCAGTCGTAAGTTTAATTCTCTCATAAATCCCGAGTTAGCGCTATAAATTGTATGTATAAATTCTTTCTGTCCCTTTCTTTCTCTCTCGTTTCCGCTGAACCAACAGATTATGGCACAATCGCGGAACGTTCGAGAGTCTCGAACAAATTTACACGGTCGCGCTTATCCGGCGCCTTACGGGAGTGATATTTGCGTTATAAAAATTGATCGGTCGTTAAAATCCAAGCGGGTCTGTGCGTGTAACGCTGCAAGCTCGAACAAATAACGCCCGTCGCTTCGGCTTTAAAACTCGCCTATCTTCTTAAATTCCAAGTCGCGGGATCGCAATCAGCCTTTGTAAGATAAATTTTATTCCACCTGTCTGTCCGTCTGTTCTCCTTTCTCTTCTTTACTTTTCTTTATTTCGCCGCGAGGATTACTCGTAAATTCACTCTTTAGACTTATGCCAGGTAAATCAAGATGAAACGACTTGCCACGCACGTACGGAGATCTTGCGCCGAAACAACTCCCGCGTCTCGTAAAACACGATCGCGGGCGTTCCTGCCGACTTATTGAGATGCCCAACGCGGAAGATTATCGCTTGTATTATTGCTTACATAAACGCGTCGATCATCCCGTTGCACTTTAATAACAACGCAATCGAAAATCATTAATTGTGCTGCAAACCGGCGATCGTGAATTCCGTTTGATTAATTCTACTTCGATCATTTGTTCTTCGATAAACCGTACCTATATCTAATATTCTTCAGTTGTGTAAACTTGTTTGCGTCCACGATAAAAACTTTTCAAATAAACTCTCCCGTGGGCATCGTAGAGAAGTAAATTTTCGTCCCAACTCAAGACTGTCCTTTACGCATGGAAAACAACGTAGGGAACTTTGTTATACCGTAGCTTTAAAAGAACTTCTAGG